CGCAGAGGGGGTAACATCAGAGGCCAGCCGCCCATATCACCTGGCTTGTGTCATGCTAATAGGTGGGGATGGGCTGGGCTGGAACAGGGAGTGATATAAATCAGCTTTTATCACATGCAGCAAACTTATGGGTTTTAGTAAACTGTCAATGCACATGATTGTGTGTTTGGGTAATTTTCCGTTTTTATAGAGTTCCTGGTGGGTCCACTAAATGACCCACTGCACGTAGGATTCACAGGATCAATGAAAGTTTGATCAATGAACTGGAGGATCACAGAAGGATCCACTTGAGGAACAAGTGTAAGATCCACTAAAGGATCACCTGTAGGACCACCTGTATGATCACCTGTAGTATCCACTGTAATATCCACTGAAGGATTCATTGTAGGACCGCCTGTAGGAACATCTGTATGATCCACTGTATGATCACCTGTAGGATCCACTGTAGGACCACCTGTATGATCCACTGTAGGACCATCTGTATGATCCACTGTAGGATCATCTGTATGATCCACTGTAGGACCACCTGTATGATCCACTGTAGGACCATCTGTATGATCCACTGTATGACCATCTGTATGATCCACCGTAGGACATGTATGATCCACTGTAGGACCATCTGTATGATCCACTGTAGGATCACCTGTATGATCCACTGTAGGACCATCTGTATGATCACCTGTAGGGCCACCTGTATCATCCACTGTAGGATCCACTGTGGGACCACCTGTATGATCCACTGTAGGACCACCTGTAGGATCTACTGTAGGACCACCTGTAGGATCCACTGTAGGACATCCTGTAGGGTCCACTTTCGGACCACCTGTATGATCCACTGTAGGACCACCTGTATGATCCAATGTAGGACCACTTGTAGGATCTACTGTTGGACCACCTGTAGGATCCACTGTAGGACATCCTGTATCATCCACTGTAAGACATCCTGTATCATCCACTGTATGACCACCTGTATGATCCACTTTAGGACCACCTGTATGATCCACTGTAGGACATCCTGTAGGATACACTGTAGGACCACCTGTAGGATCCACTGTAGGTCATCCTGTATGATCCACTGTAGGACATCCTGTATGATCACCTGTAGGATCCACTGTAGGGTCACTTGTATGATCCACTGTATGACCATCTGTATGATCCACTGTAGGACCACCTGTAGGATCCACTGTAGGACATCCTGTATGATCCACTGTAGGTCACCTGTATGAACGATTGTGTGGTCACTTGTATGATACACTGTAGGATCACCTGAGAGATTCACTGGCAGACAAATTGTTGAATGCATTTAAAGGACCAACTGTAGGGCCATAGGAGGAGCGAGCAAGACTAACCCTGGGCCACCCAGTCCACTGAGGGCTTGACTGAAAGATGTGGTTTACTCCCGGGATCAGAACACATGACCAGTAGCAGCTTGTACTACTGGACCACCCTGTCCACTGAGAGCTTGACTGAAAGATGTGGTTTACTCCCGGGATCAGAACCCATGACCAGTAGCAGCTTGTACTACTGGGCCACCCAGTCCACTGAGGGCTTGACTGAAAGATGTGGTGACTCCCGGGATCAGAACACATGACCAGTAGCAGCTTGTACTACTGGACCACCCTGTCCACTGAGGGCTTGACTGAAAGATGTGGTTTACTCCCGGGATCAGAACCCATGACCAGTAGCAACTTGTACTACTGGGCCACCCTGTCCACTGAGGGCTTGACTGAAAGATGTGGTTTACTCCCGGGATCAGAACACATGACCAGTAGCAGCTTGTACTACTGGGCCACCCTGTCCAATGAGGGCTTGACTGAAAGATGTGGTGACTCCCGGGATCAGAACACATGACCAGTAGCAGCTTGTACTACTGGGCCACCCTGTCCAATGAGGGCTTGACTGAAAGATGTGGTTTACTCCCGGGATCAGAACACATGACCAGTAGCAGCTTGTACTACTGGGCCACCCTGTCCACTGAGGGCTTGACTGAAAGATGTGGTGACTCCCGGGATCAGAACACATGACCAGTAGCAGCTTGTACTACTGGACCACCCTGTCCACTGAGGGCTTGACTGAAAGATGTGGTGACTCCCGGGATCAGAACACATGACCAGTAGCAGCTTGTACTACTGGGCCACCCTGTCCAATGAGGGCTTGACTGAAAGATGTGGTTTACTCCCGGGATCAGAACCCATGACCAGTAGCAGCTTGTACTACTGGGCCACCCTGTCCACTGAGGGCTTGACTGAAAGATGTGGTGACTCCCGGGATCAGAACACATGACCAGTAGCAGCTTGTACTACTGGACCACCCTGTCCACTGAGGGCTTGACTGAAAGATGTGGTTTACTCCCGGGATCAGAACCCATGACCAGTAGCAGCTTGTACTACTGGGCCACCCAGTCCACTGAGGGCTTGACTGAAAGATGTGGTGACTCCCGGGATCAGAACACATGACCAGTAGCAGCTTGTACTACTGGGCCACCCTGTCCAATGAGGGCTTGACTGAAAGATGTGGTTTACTCCCGGGATCAGAACCCATGACCAGTAGCAGCTTGTACTACTGGGCCACCCTGTCCACTGAGGGCTTGACTGAAAGATGTGGTGACTCCCGGGATCAGAACACATGACCAGTAGCAGCTTGTACTACTGGACCACCCTGTCCACTGAGGGCTTGACTGAAAGATGTGGTTTACTCCCGGGATCAGAACCCATGACCAGAAGCAGCTTGTACTACTGGGCCACCCTGTCCAATGAGGGCTTGACTGAAAGATGTGGTTTACTCCCGGGATCAGAACCCATGACCAGTAGCAGCTTGTACTACTGGGCCACCCTGTCCACTGAGGGCTTGACTGAAAGATGTGGTGACTCCCGGGATCAGAACACATGACCAGTAGCAGCTTGTACTACTGGACCACCCTGTCCACTGAGGGCTTGACTGAAAGATGTGGTTTACTCCCGGGATCAGAACCCATGACCAGAAGCAGCTTGTACTACTGGGCCACCCTGTCCACTGAGGGCTTGACTGAAAGATGTGGTGACTCCCGGGATCAGAACCCATGACCAGTAGCAACTTGTACTACTGGGCCACCCTGTCCACTGAGGGCTTGACTGAAAGATGTGGTTTACTCCCGGGATCAGAACCCATGACCAGTAGCAGCTTGTACTACTGGGCCACCCTGTCCACTGAGGGCTTGACTGAAGAATGTGATGTTGATTATTGTGATGGAAAGAAAGAAATTACCACCACAAACTGTACAAACGATAGAGATATAAGCATATACTACTTCGGGAAAACATGGACACTCAAAATACCGTGAAAAAGTTTGACTGGAATGCTGACTGGAATTTGACACATCAGTGACAAAAAATGATGCAATTTCCTATTTTGACTTGTGCCATATGTTACCATGTTTTTTCCTGTGAACAGTTGACTTGGCTTTGCATGTGTTTGTAATGGGTGCCACCGGTGGGGCAGGATATGCTCACCTTTTCACAAACATCATCACTATTTGATAGCAACTCATCTGAGCATGCTAATAATGTAGTCAAAATCATATAGTGCACTACACTCTTTGAAGAGATTTCACATGATTATGAAAATGGTTTTTGGTGCTTTTATTCAATCAAAGTACCATATTAACATACCGGTACCAAAAGGACTGCTTCAAAAGAGAGTTGCCATATAGCTGAAATAATGCAACGTTAAGTTTGAACTCACTCACTCACTCACTCAAAAGAGAATTTTAATATTCACAGATCGGCTGTAGGATCTGAACACTTCACACCAGTGATTCAATGCAAAAGAATTTTACATCATAACTGAAAACAACATTCATAGGTAAACAGGAAATATTGTGCATCTGCAGATAATGAACACTTTGTTGTCAGGAATGTTTGAGAGTGCCACAAGAGGAAATGTCAGGGTTTATATACAAACATAATCACACACTTCATGTAATTACAAAGCTCATAAGTCTGACTTGTATCTCATGTTTCAAGCATAAAAACACTAATTCTTAGCTATCCAAGGAATCTGTTAAAACCGTTGCTCAGTCGCTCTTACAAACTATACCCAAGACGATGAATGAACGGTACATTATGCCTAGTCAGCAGAATTACAGATGTATCAGAGCAGCCCGTAAAACTCTCAGGATCTCACAAACTAGTGGTCAATAGTGTGAGCACATTGAGAGGAGGTCTTCTGTGGTGGTCACCCATCACACTGTTTATACTCAACAATTACACAAATTAGTGGTCAATAGTATGAGCATATTGAGAGGAGGTCTTCTGTGGTGGTCACCCATCACACTGTTTATACTCAACAATCACACAAATTAGTGGTTGATAGTATGAGCATATTGAGAGGAGGTCTTCTGTGGTGGTCACCCATCACACTGTTTATACTCAATAATTACACAAATTAGTGGTCGATAGTGTGAGCACACAGAGATGAGGTCTTCTCTGGTGGTCGCCCATCACACTGTTTACACTCAACAATCAACATCGCATCTGACCTTTTTCAGAAGCCTTCTATTACAAGCATGTGGTAGTCTGGAGCTATTCTGGCTAAGAATCCTAACACTGCATTATATACATACACAAATCACGGAAAACATATGTTCTTTTAACATTTTCCAAATATTATGACATTGCAAAAAATAATAATTCAAAGACCGTTCTTTCTTCAAGTACCACACTCATAGAGTTCAATCCATGAATACAATATTTTCCTTTACACAAAAACTCCGGAAAACAATAATGCCCTAAAACACTTAGACCAATTCCTTCAGCGCCACACAATTCCAGGAATCATGCCAATAATGCTCCCTTTTCTCTACAGGTGTTAATTATTCGTATCCCTCACACTCACATGCTAATTGTACCACCGCCACGTGGTGATTATAACTGTGGCCGCAGGCTGGTGTGATGTCACTACCAGATGGCGCTCTACGTCACTGTCAGAGCGTAAGTGGTTTCCCAGGTGGAAGTCCTACCTACCTGGCAACTCGTACAGGGTATTGAAGATCCGGAAGCGGTGCTCGTCCATCTGAACAAACTTGCTTGGATAGAGTGCCTGGATTTCCTGCCTGTGAATAAAATATTGAGGGGAATCATAACGGAATTTAAACATGATTTCACTTCAAGATGAATGAATTTACATTTGATATGAAAAATAGTTTTGAGGTCTTACAAATATCTTTTACTTTTTTTATTAAATTAAATTTCTTTAAATATAATGTCGGTGCTGGAAACAAGACAAAAAGTGGGCTGGTCTTCCAGCTGAAGTACAATTTTGATATTGGAGATATAATGATGCCTTAACGTTTGAACTGGTTTCTCTTAAAAAGCACAATAATATAACATGGTAATGGCATGATTCAAAGATGCACTAGGGCATCATTGTAGGTCAGGGGTATAAAAATATATCTATGTTGAAAACATGAAAAAAGCAATATTTTCTCAGAAAATCCACTTTTTGAAATCAACTTTGCACTGCACCTCTCCTATTGGTATAGAAATGGTACCACTAATCGGAAAAGAATCCATGCAGTAGTTTTCAAGTTATAGGTCACATAAATGTTGAAATAAAATACAATTCTAAGTTCAAAACATGAAAAAATCATATTCTTTCGGAAAACACACATATCAAAATTATATTTGCACTGCACCTCTTCTATTAGATTGGAAACTGTACCCTGAATTAAAAAAGAATCCATGAAGTAGTTTTCAAGTTATAGGTCGCACTTACAATTAAGTAAAAACATAAACATAAGTAAAGTCAAAAATAAAAAAAGCTGGGTTTTTATCAGAAAATCCAAATATTCAAATCAAACTTTGCACTGGACCTCTCCTATTGGTATAGAAAGTGTTCACAAAGTTTGAAAAGAATCTATGCAGTCGTTTTCAAGTTACAGGTTGCACACAAAATGTCCACAGAAGGAGGGACAGATGGACAGAATCCCTTGGTGTAACAATTGGCTACCCCACATGGTCAGGTCAGGGGTGTTATAATGCCCATGGGGGCACGGGTGGCCCAGTCGTCTAAGGCGCCGCGATTCGCTGTGCAGAGTTGCGTCCCTTTGGCACGCCAGAAACCTATGATTGTGAGTTCGAATCCCGGTTCGCCCCGATTATGTTTCTAGGTTTGTCAGCACCATACCCGTGCTCGTGGGTTTCACCAAAGTGGTAAACGTCTGAGACCTGCATCACTTCGGGCTTTCCTCCCACATTAAGCTGACACGCCGTGATATGACTGGAATAATGTTAAAAGCGGCGTTAAACCCAACTCACTCACTCACTCACTCACTATAATGCCCATACTGATGTCTCAGGGACATGAGGAATATTGAAACATAATCCACATATGCAACATTTACTTTTCAGATCAGAATGAACATTGCAAATTATGATTTGTGATGAGACCACTATATTTGTCCTGATGAAGTTTGCTGACGAGCAAACATTTGCAACATCTCTTCATATGTAATTTGACACTTTTGACAATTAAAGGAATAAAGCCCCTTTTATTCTCCTGTTTTATTTTGTTTTAATTCTGCACTCCATTATAAAAATAATGGTATTTAACTGTCCAAGTATGGACCAGGCAATCCAGTGATTGATATAAGACACCTTCATGTTATGACATGCAATCAAGCAAGTGACTGGGCCACCAGACCACCAGATATACATACATTTGAAAAGTCAACTATCATGTTATTGAGTGAGTGAGTTGTGTTTAAAGCCGCTTTTAACAGTATTCCAGTTATATCACGGAGTGTCAGCTTCATGTGGGAGGAAAGCCCAAAGTGATGCAGGTCTCAGACGTTTATTTCTTCGGTGAAACCCACGAGCACGGGCATGGTGCTGACAAACCTAGAAACATAATCGGGGCGAACCGGGATTCGAACCCACAATCATAGGTTTCTGGCGTGCCCAATGGACGCAACTCTGCACAGCAAATCGCGGCACCTTAGACGATGGGGCCACCCGTGCCCCCAATATCATGTTATTGAGGTAATCCAACTGACAAATCTTAGTTCAGAACAATGTCTTTCCTTTGTGATAAAACTAACTCAAAGTTTGCAAATTTGATATCAAGTCAACAATTCTCTGAATCTCTTGTCCTCGTCAGAATTCCATATTTCTCATTTTGCCTCAGATCATGGGATAGGGGTCAAGTAACTCTGATAAAATGAAATTCCTGTCTGGCCTCAACAAGAAAAAATAAGAATGAATACACAGACAATAAACATAGAAAAAAAAACATATTATGTCTCAAAACAAATGAATCTGATGCATTTATTTCACTGCGCAATCAAAACAATTCCTCAAAAACATTAAAAAATCTCATCCACAAAATCCTTCTTGAGCAAGCATCCATGATCTGAGAACTCATCCACATTCAGAAACAGCCACCTAAACATGGGTACTATCCAACCATGTGTTACAGGGGAATAGAACCTGCACAAACACCCAGAGAGAGCTGACAGCTGGCCAATAACAACAGTACTGTGCTAAGCCAGCGTTGATGACCAGGTGGCCTAAGTGACATTTAAACACCTGCCACCAGCCTACTGATATTTCCACATCTGTCTACTCATAAATAAACGCAATCAACATGTGAAAAATATGATGGTGTGTTTATTTTTCCTCATGCAAAAAATGATATATTCTGTCTCCCATACTGACTTTCAGTGATGATGGATTGAGGCTGGGAGGGCTCAGAATACTCCCAGGAAGGTCCACGTGTCTAGTTCTTTCGATGGACATGTTTTTAAGAAAGAGATATGCCAAGTTTTTTTCTATTTAGCTCATCCATTATTCGGTCAATCCTAGTGTTTTTAGCCCAGGTAGGACCTTTCTGTTTGCATAATTCATAGGTGGTCTTATTATACCACATACAAATAACGTCTCACGTGAAGAAAAGAAATGTGTCATTGGTATGGAATAACAGAAGGAACACACTGTTAATGTCACCAACATCGCTAGTGATTGTGGACCATCATCATCATCCCCACCATGAACATGCATGACTTCATCTTCATCATCATCATCATCATCATGACCCTCATCATCATAATCACAATCACCGTCCACTAATCATCATCATCATCATCATGATCTTCATCAACATAATCACAATCACCCAACACTAATCATAATTATCATCATTATCATCATGACCCTCATCATCATAATCACAATCACCCTCCACTAATCATCATCATCATCATCATCATCATGACCCTCATCTTCATAATCACAATCACCGTCTACTTATCATCATCATCATCATCATGACCCTCATCTTCATAATCACAATCACCGTCTACTTATCATCATCATCATCATCATGACCCTCATCTTCATAATCACAATCACCGTCTACTTATCATCATCATCATCATCATCATCATCATCTTCATCACCCGTTATAACTAATTAACTAAAGTTGAAGTGTGAATATCAAGGATCTGAAACATTGAAATCAGAACTTAATAACAGTTTAGAATTAACTGCAAAACATATAGAAACATTTTCGTAGCCAGAAATCTAAGTCTGTTCACGTGGGCAGGCAAAGCAGACTTGGCATTATCTGTGCCGGCACTGATTCATCTCTTAACAAGGCCGAGGGGACAGGCAGGAACAGGATGGGCCCGGTCTGTGTGGGTAGACCAGCCTCAGGTAGCAGACATCTACTAGCAACTGTACCTGTCTACGTTCATGCTGACTGTCCAAGCCCCCTTCCCAGCAATGTCTATTTATGCCAAATTACATTATTCTTCTCTATAGACCTGAGAATATCCTGATAGTGTTTTGTCTATTTTCATTTCAATTTGAACTCTGGCCAAGAAACATTTATGTGCATGTCTTTCCTCAACAGATGCTCTTGATAGATTTGGGGTTAATATTCATTATCGTAATTAACATCAATCAGTTCATGAGGCTGCTCATTGTTAACTCTTGGCATAAAAACATTAAAGGGTCTATCCTTGTTTCTTTAAATGGACACACTAAAGGAAACTAATCCATGACGTCAAAAACATTCAGGATGCAATACGATGTATATCTCAACATTGAGGATGTAATACAATGTACATCCTAACATTAAGGATGCAATACGATGTATATCTCAAATTGAAGATGCAGGATGGTGTATATCTCAAGAGTCAGGGTGCAATACAATGTATATCTCAACATTGAGGATGAAATACAATGTACATCTTAACATTAAGGATGCAAAACGATGTATATCTCAAATTGAGGATGCAGGATGGTGTATATCTCAAGAGTCAGGGTGCAATACAATGTATATCTCAACATTGAGGATGAAATACAATGTACATCTTAACATTGAGGATTGAGGATGCAGGATGGTGTATATCTCAACATTGAGGATGCAAGATGATGTATATCTCAAATTGAGGATGCAGGATGGTGTATATCTCAACATTGAGGATGCAAGATGGTGTATATCTCAACATTGAGGATGCAAGACGATGTATATCTCAAATTGAGGATGCAGGATGGTGTATATCTCAAGAGTCAGGGTGCAATACAATGTATATCTCAACATTGAGGATGAAATACAATGTACATCTTAACATTGAGGATTGAGGATGCAGGATGGTGTATATCTCAACATTGAGGATGCAAGATGATGTATATCTCAAATTGAGGATGCAGGATGGTGTATATCTCAACATTGAGGATGCAAGATGGTGTATATCTCAACATTGAGGATGAAAGACGATGTATATCTCAATAATCAATATGAAATACAAAATATACTCACCAACAAAAGAAACATGAATACCATACATGTTGGTTAATATATGAAGAATTACTCATATTCACGAGATATCAGAGAGTGTCTGCCCGGAGACCGGCAGGTTGATTGTTGAATCCCTGGTTTCATTGCACCAAAAGACCCATTTACAATCGTAGCTTTTTCTTGAGCCCAGTTTGAAGGCACGATGCTCAAAAAAGCCATCCAATGAAATTAGACTAGAGCAAGAGAAAGTGTGTTCTAATTCAGAGATAGCAGCAATGGTGGTGGTGTAGTGGATACAGCGTTCGCCCAAAG